AGTAACTGTGATAAAATCATCTGCTTTGAGAGTAAACATATCAAATGTCACCTGTAGATTGATATCAGAGTGTCTCTGTCTTGTATTTCCACTCCGGGCTGACAGGATGCTTTACACTGAGTTACTGCAACTGTGGCAACATTCGGTGGAGGCCGTGGATGCGAAGGACTGGCCAACAGCTCTGGCCAAACTCAATGAGATCAGTGAGCCCACTTCTCGCACGCTGTTTAATACGGCCTCATGTTACCTGGCCCTGGGGCAGCTGGATTTGGCCTTGAAGGTGAGTCACTCCAAATGATTGAAATGGAAACGTCTATAATCTATAACCAGTGTAACCAGTGGCTGTCAGGGATTACTGGTTATTGCAGAAACGCTGTCAAATCAGTAAACGTCCTGGACTTTCCAGGCTGTAAATGAGCAAACTGAGCATCGTATGTGGATCATTGGTGTGTGTTTGTGTGTGTGTGTTTGTGTGTTTGTTTGTGTGTGTTTGAGAGAGATAAAGAGGAGTGAAGATGAAGAAAAACGTACAAAGAAGGTCAATAAAAAGCTGTACATGCATTATGATTTACTGTATCACTCGTGAGTATAAACACGTACAGTAAAGCTTTGATGTCGTCTTCCCCCTCTCTCGTATCCAGGCTTTACACTTAACCATTGCTAAGGATGAACGCCTTGCTGTCGCCTTCTTCCAGCGAGGAGCAGTGATGATGGAGATGGGCAGGTAAGAAGGACCATTTCAAACTAACTCGTAGTCTGTGTACATATGACCATTTCTCATAAAGACGCTGTGTAAAGTGTCAACATAAACAAGCTGTGATGATTTATATACGGAGAGAGTCAGACTGACAGAAGGCTGCGCTTTCAGGAACACTCACCCAGTAATAAATAAAATGATTATTCAGCTAAAGTCCGAACAGGACTGGATCCTAGAAAGAGGGAACAGGTCAGTCCATCTGAGTGCTGACACAAAGAGACAAACAATGTTTAGTTTTTAATATGATGGATTATTGATAAGATTTAAATGAGAGCTAAACATAAAATCTGGTAATAGTCTCTAACGCTCGATTTCATGACAACTTAAGATTTTGCCCAATAAATGTGAACAAAGAGGCAGAGAACAGGATGTGCCGAAATACACAATTTAAATACACAAAAATAACCAAAAATCATATAATTCATCCATCATATGCAGTACGCCATCACTAAATACATTAAAGAGTGTATTATGAGGAGTATGGGAGACGCCCTGTGGACCATTGTGGTGGAAAGCTGGAACACACAATAAAACTATTGTGAAATTTTCCTTTGTACTGATACACCAGAGACTCTCACAGGTGTGGGAGGTGGGCTGGGATTAGTTCCTGGAAACTCATTTCTCAGTCGACCAGCTGAGGAAAAAACATCTAAAACTAAGAAACAGAGATTACGTTAAATTTGAAAACAGCTTGTTGGAAAATCTGAAAAACTAAAAATCATAATTCGTCACTAATCAATAACACCACTTAGATGTGTAGCACCTGTAACGTTACATCATATGCTCCACACAGACGATGAAGAAGAAAAACTGTTAAAATAAACCAAATAAACAGACTGTAACACACCGCGGCAGACCCGACCGGTGCTCCTGCTCTTCAGCCACACACACTGACAACAACAACACAGCAGGACCCAGTTCACACAGGCACCGCAGACCACGCCCCCGCCACACTGATGTAATATGAAAACATGAAACTACGAAAGATGTTCATGTATTACTAAAACATGACAAATTATGACAGAAA